GAGAATCGAACTCAATGCTTCACACATGCTAGGCAAGTGCACTACCATTGAACCCCAGCCCCTATATCTTAATTTGATCAAAGTTGAAGTTGTGATGATAAGATTCAGAACTGCAGGTTCTTTGACTTGTCCCTGGGTGGGAAGGCACATGCACAAAGTGGATTCCTTGTGCAAACCTGCAGGCTCATCCACATGATTGTATTTGTTATTGTGGCAGATAATAGAATCCTGGATTAAGTGTGACAGTTTGGGGAATGGTCAGCTACAAGGACGGTTGAGACGCTGGCAGAGCAATGGTTCCCTGCCTGCTTTGTTCTTGGCTCTATCCTCTCCTTCAGCCTTCCTCTGTAGGTGATCTCTGCTCTGAGTGTGGCCATGGCAGAATGAACCTCCAAGGCTCCAGCAGGTGACTGGACCCAGCTGAGAACTTGGACTGAGTCCTGTGCTGGTACCAGATGACCCTACTGGCTGCTCTGGGTCCTGGAATGAAGGGTAAAGGCCGTCTAGTGTCATGTTGGGCCGGGCAAGCGGTTCCTGAGCTCTTGGTTCAGCCTTGTGTTGGGCGGTGGGTAAGGGTTTGGGGACCCTGAGCCTGGTTCCCCAGGGTCTTTCCTGCAGACCATGAGCGTCTCGTCTGCTTAGACTGCGTGGGCCTGCAGGTCTGGCTGTCTCGAGCATGTGTTCTGATAAGGTACCCCACTCAGTACAAGCGGGAAGGTCAGCCCCTTGTGGTTCTGGGGTGGCCAGTTCTACTCCCATTCGATGGGTGCTTGCAACTGCTGAGCACAAGGAGTCCACAGTTGATGTCCAACAGGGTGACTGGAAGTCAGCTTCCCTGTGGTGAAACAGTGTTAAGTCCTTTAGCTTCACTGGTGGTTACGGCCAAGTTTGATGTCAGCTTTAAAGTTATCTTGAATTAGAACTGAAGAGGTACGTGGACTCAGTAAAAGAGCAACTATTCAGATGATGGGTGCTGAATGACCCTGGAAGTGGGCCTGTGACGTGCCAGCCTGTCTTCTAGTTCTATGGGCATGGAGCACCCAGGGGATGCATGGCAGTATGTTGGCAGTCCTGTGACCTGTGGGGCTGCTGCTCTTCTTTTTGTTTTTTATTTTATTTCTTTTCTTTCTTTTTTTTGAGGAAAGCCCCTGAAGAGCTCCAGTTCTACCTTTGGTGTCCCCTGGCTCTCCTCACTGTACTATTAGTATCTACCGAGCACAGGTGTTGAAGGGTTCATGCTCGGCATGGACTGGAAGGCTTGACTTGTTTCTTTGGTGGTGAAGGCCTGAGAGAGTTTTTAAATGATCCTGAATTTATTGTTTTCAAGATAACATTTCAAGTCTTTTGGGGCCCTCAGAATGAACCTAGTGGGAGCCTTGCTTCCCACAACCTCCCAGGCCAGGCAGGGTCCTCTCTGAAGGCTGCCAGGGGCAATGTAAGGTGCTGTCTGTTCAGGAGAAAGCTGGATGGTGGTCCCTGTTGTCTCCTCTGCAAACAGATGAGGGCCAGAGTGTACAGCTCCCAACCTTCAGAACCTCACTCCGTGATCTAGATTGAGCTACTGGGGTCAAACGCTATGGCAGACTTCCCTCGGCCTTCCTAAAGCTTCCGGGGCTTTGCTGGGAGCCCCGAGGCTTGGTCAGGAGTCTTCCCTCTCCATGTTGGGTGAGCACCAGCCCCACACTTTCAGGGGCCATTCCTTTCTTTCTTATTGAGGCCAAGGCGTTGGTAGGTGGCAGCTGTTTTCAGTTACCAGGTCATATGCAGCATGGGCTGGAAGAGTGGGCTGCCCTACCCTGACTTCAACCTGTGTGTCTGCCCCCTGAACCCATTTTTTCTGCCCAGTGGTGTGGTTTTACTTCTTAGAAGTGTGTTAACCTGAGATAGGGGTGCAGCTCTGGTAGTGCGGCTGCCTTGAGATCAGATTGAGGCTCAATCTCCAGCACTGCAGAAGAACCTAGGTATTCACTTCAAATTGGGTGCCAACGTGCTTGATGCTTCTTACTGAATGTGGAGACACAGATGTCGTTTCCCACCAGGGCCTTCCTGTGATTGCTGCCCTGGAGTGCTCTAGGGCCCTGGACCCAGTGGTGGGGAGTTCCATGCTAGTGACCCCCGCCCCTGGTGCCAGGTGGACTCTGCTTTTGTCTTGGTGGGGTTCGTGGTGAGTCTGCCTTTACAGGTGCCTGCATTTGTCAGTGCTCACCCTCAGAGCTGTGTAGACCTTGTCTTCCCCAGATTTGTAGCTGACAGGGTGCGCTCCCTGGTGGCCCTTGGCTCAGTGGGCATCTCTCCATGAAACCTTGTCAGAGCTGCCTTACTTTGGCCTTTATTCCAACAACAGACTGTCTTGGTTGCACTCAGTTCTTACTTGTACACCCTTTTTTAAAAAAAAAATTTTTTTTTTTTTTTTGGGGGGGGGTACCAGGGATTGAAGCCAGAAGCTTTCAACCTCTAAGCCATATCCACAGCCTTTTTTATATTTTATTTAAAGACATGATCTCACTAAGTTACTCAGGGCCATGCTAAATTGCTGAGGCTGGCTTTTTTTTTTTTTTTAATATTTATGTATCTTTTAGTTTTTTTTTGTTTGTTTTTTTAAGGTGGATACATTAGTTTGTTTTTATGTGGTGCCAAGGATTGAACCCAGTGCTTCATGCATACTAAGCGAGCACTCTACTATTGAGCTACCACCCCAGCCCCTGAGGCTGGCTTTTAACTCATCATCCTCCTGCCTCAGCCTCCCAGGCCGCTGGGATAACAGGCTTGCACCACCGCGCCTGGCTTGTACACCCTTTTTCTTCCTTACCTGCGCTTATTGTTCCTGTGGGACCTGAAGTGAGCTTAGGGTAGACTTGGTCAAATGTGCTCCTTAGGCTCCTCCCAGGCATCCTACAGGACTTGCAGAATCCGCCTCAGCTTTGCCTCTCTCCATTTGCCAGGAGCTGGCTGAATTTATTGTTATCAGGATAACAATACTTCCCATTAAATAAATGCGGCCTCCTCTTTGACCCCTAAACTAGACATTTTCTCTTTAACAACATGAATCTTAATTTCATTTGTTGCCGCACAATGAAATTTGTGTAAATAGTTAGGCAATAGGCTAAGGAGGAAGGAAATTCTGTAAGGGCTCCTGGGAGACCTTGCAGACCTGGTGGAGGAGCATGCCGACAGCAAAACAAAGCCTCAGGGCAGCCCACCAGAGCCCTGCTGTCCAGGTGGCAGGACTGTAGAGGCCAGGCGCAAGAGGAGCTTGCCCTACAGCTGCCTCCACACACCTGGGCCCTGCCTGTGTCCCTCCTGTGGGCTTGTCTCCTATGCCCATGTCCTAGAAGTCACACCAAACAAAACCGGGCCTTTCTCAAGCTGGTTTCCTTCCACAGACCTTCAAGGGCTTGCTTCCGAGCCTTTGATGGCTGTGTTTCTGCAATAATGGGTGTAAGTATAGTAGCAGAGCTACTTGGGCAGCATGGACAGGGGAAGTATGCTGCCTATCAGAGATGTGGATCCAGGGCAACAACCCAGTCCAGGAGCAGATGAAGATGTCGGGAACCAGAAACACCTAGCAGGTCATGGTCAACTGTCTTTGGAAGTTAAACTGCTTAGATTGACCACTTATACATTTTCTTTTTAGTAGCCAGTGGACCTTTATTTTACTTTACATGTGGTGCTGAGAATTGTGCCCATTGCCTGAGACATGCTGCAGGGCAGGCCCTCTACCACTGAGGTATAACCATAGCCCAACCACTTACAACACTAAAAGCTAGTTTTAGCTGGGCGTGGTGGTGCACATCTATAATCCAGTGATTCTAGATGCTGAGGCAGCAGGATCACTAGTTTGAGGGCAGCCTCTGCAATTCAACAAAACCTATCCCAAAATAAAAAATAGGGGTGTGGAGTGTAGCACAGTGGTAGAGCACCCATGGGCTCAATCTCCAGTACTACTACTACTAATAGTAGTAGTAATAATAAATAAAAGCTGTTTTTATTCTCCAGAGATAAGAATTACGTTTTAAGCTATGGGCTTGTTTAAATAAGTTGATAACTAAATGTATCACTCAGAATTCCTAAACTTTGGGCCTAGGTGTAGCTCAGTGGAAGAACACATACCTAGTACTGGGTTTCACTACCAGCAGCAGAACCCCTAGAATTTCTGAATAGTCAGTTTGCTAAAATAATTAACAAGGTGCTTCCCCTCAATGCAGTGGTGCAGATGAGCCCTTAGAACAAGGGCTCCATAGGGGAGGTAAGTTCTTGTCCTGCAGACCCCTGTCAGGCACCATTGGGAGGTTGGAACCGCCCTGCCTCAAGCATGGTGGACCTGGGAGGGTATGGGTCCAACTCCTTTACTGTCCCCTTGGTCTTAACTGGGCACTGCATACTTCCTGGGCCTTGTTAGGCCTTTGCTATCTCTGTCTCCACTTGGATTGTAGCTGCTTTCTCCTGGACCTCTTACCTGTTGATTCTGTCAAGGGTTTTCTAGGCCTTCCTGCTACTGAAGCTTCCTTTTGGAAACCAGGGGTTTCCGATGTTTTTCCTGACATGACTGAGCTGCACCTGGGACTGGTTGGGCTGCCTCTGCTGAGGCTCCAGTTTCAGAGGGAACAAGCACTGCACTCTAGGATGGGGGTTAGAGCAGGAGAAAGTCACCAAAACACTACAGCTAATGCTGAAGGACAGCTCAAAAGGGGGTTCCATGTGACAGTGAGGACAGCTCAAAAGGGGGTTCCATGTGACAGTGAGGAATGCCTCCTGGGAAGGGGTGAGCATAGGCCTCTGCTTCTGCCGGAGGGTTCAGTCAGAATGATGGGGCTGGCTGGTGCAGGGCTGCAGAGCTTGGGGCTTCCAGGGGTGACCCTGCCTCTTCTAGGACTAATGGCTTTGGTACAGCCCATTCTAGTACCCTGCTGGCCCTAGGGGCCACAAGCAGGAAGGGCTGTAACCCCGGTACATTTGGGTTGAACAGGCTTTATCTAGAGCTCCTTAACTCAAGCATCTAGCTATACACAGAATGGTATTTTACACATGTTGGACAGAAATAAGAGAATCAAGCCTCGTCCAGAAAGGTTCCAGAACTGCAAGGACCTGTTTGACCTGATCCTCACCTGTGAAGAGCGGGTCTACGACCAGGTGGTGGAAGGTGAGAGCAAGGCCTGGGGCCACGGGCAGAGCCAGAAGCAGGGCTGTGTGCCACCTGCCAGCCAGGCTGACCCTGCATGCATGGGAGCTGTGCCCTGGGCACAGGGCTGCTGATTGTTGGCTCCTCCCGCAGAGGCAGGCCAGGCTATGGGCTCTTAGGTAATAGCAGGGGACAGTGGGTGCTTCCCCACTGACCTGCACAGCCCTGTGATGATGGGCAGGGTGAACAAGGAAAGGAAGAGGAAAGTGGGTAAGGGCACGTGTTTGTGGCCCTTATGCTAAAGTTCATCAGAGCAAAACCACCCACATGGCTGCTGACCTAAGCAAAAGATGCCTGGCACAGAGATGCAAGGACGGCCTGGGCAGGAAGAGGCCTTGGGTTGCATTTTGTTTGCTGATGTTTCCTTGAATTATGGCCCCTCTCTCGTGAGGTTCTTCCTCAGGTAAGGTTCTTCCTCCCGGGCCTGCCTGGCTGCTGTATCCTCAGTTGTACAAACCCTCAAGTTCAGGAGACCGACCAATGCAGGGCCCAGTACTCCAGCACATCTGCCACCTGCTTCCTGTTGAGAACCTCTGACACCTGTGTCACTTTGTCCCAACCAGATCTGAACTCCAGAGAGCAGGAGACCTGCCAGCCAGTGCACGTGGTAAATGTGGACATCCAAGACAACCATGAGGAGGCCACCTTGGGAGCCTTCCTCATCTGTGAGCTCTGCCAGTGTGTAAGTACCAGTTTCTGTCTGAGCTGTCCCTGCCAAGGAGAAAGAGGCAAGGCCCTCTCCTCCTGCCCAGGACAGGGCAGGGGCTTCCCATGGCTCGCCATGGCTGTGTGGCTCAGTTCCGGGTCCAGTTACAGCCAGTGCTGAAATGTCAGCAGAAACAGAGGCATGCACAGAACTGAGATCTAACCACGCTGCTTTGGCTGAAGCACCCACCCTGGTGTTCTGGTTCATCTGACAGAAGCTTGTGAAGACAGCTGTGTCCAGCAAGAGCCTCCAGCACGCAGGCCTTTTTTGAAGATGGGGTGCCTCACCTCTCCCCTGTGCTGGATCTTAGTTCCTAAGTGCCCAGCAGAACCCATGGCACTCCAGGTTCAGGTGGGGTCAGAAGTGCACCCCCAAGGCACCTCTGCAGCAGATGGGCAGGAACCTGTGTCCTCTACCCTTTGGACTTGTCAGGCAGGCCAGACATCTGTCCTTTCCTGTGACCCCTGGGTATTCTCCTAGCACTCAATGGCTTGTGCAGCCTCTATGATGGGACCATCCCAGAGGGAGAGCCATGTGCCTGGTCTGGTCTTGTGCCCTTTGGGAGCTGTGCGTGTAGGAAATGATGGCTTAGCCAAGAGAGGTCAGTAGATACTGGGCTGGGAGTCCATTTGCTGTGTGGGACCCATGTTCCTGCCCTCTGGATGCTCAGCTTGGCACAGCCTCCATTCCCAGCCTGCCCTGTGATCCATTGTGGTTGCTGGAGCTCCAGTGGTTGTGCTTACGCAAGAGCAAGCTGAAGAGCAAGACATGTCCCAGAAGTTGTGCATGCAACTTCTCCTTGGGCACATCGTCAGCTGAGTCACAGGGGCTAGCTGGGGGACTAGGGAGACCAGCCATCATGCCAGGGCAGCTGTGCTCCGGTGCCAGCCTGCCTCTTTTTAGGGAAGGGGTTCTTCATTAGGGTACCTCTGGCAGTCCATGCCTGCATTTATGATTCTCACAGCCAGGAGGAAGGCTCTTGGTGACTCAGGTGTGCCCCAACTGGGAACTCGACCAGCTTCCCTGCTCAGTGACTTTGGGGAGGTACCTTCCTTGCCCTCTTGTCTTGCAAGTTGAGGACTCACTGGCCAAAGAGTGTGCTGAAGCACCAGGCTGGGTCCCCAAACCTGCCCCACTTCTGAACCTGCTCTATGCTCCTCCCAGCCTAGGGTTCTGAAGTGATCAGTGCAGAGGCCCCTCCACAGCAAGGCACCACCAGGTAGAGTTAGGGTCAGGATGCTCCATCCTGGAGGCCTGGTGCTGGGGAACCTGCCAGTGTCTGTGGCTCTGGGCATGGGCAGGGGAGGTGCCCCTTGCTCAGGGCTATGCTCTTTGCAGATCCAGCACACGGAAGACATGGAGAATGAGATTGACGAGCTGCTGCAGGAGTTTGAGGAGAAGAGCGGCAGGGCCTTCCTGCACACAGTCTGCTTCTACTGAGCTCCACCTCCTTCAGGCTCCTCTTGGTGGAAGGTGTATGGACTGTACATATAGGATGAAAAGGTACACAGAACCGCCAGATTAAAGACCATTCTCAACCCCACTTCTCTTTACCAAAAGTTACTGCCCACTGCCCTAGGGTGTGCCTGTTGCTCTGCCTTGCTCTCTTCTCTCCCAATTGCTGGATTGTACAAATATCTGAATAAAGCAACGAGCTGTATCTTAAAGAAAAGAACCTGGAATTACCCAATAAATAGATGCTGCTAGTTGTCAATGCTTTGTCCTGATTTCTTGGCCAGACCTTCCTCTTGCAGAGGTACAGGCCCCTGAGGACCTCCTGAGGGAGAGGGGCTGGGGAGTGCTGCTGAAGGCAGGACACAGCAGCAAGATGGTGTTCTCTCAGTGGCTCCCACCCCCAGAGCTGCGATCAATTGTCCTGGGTGTCAAGACTGTCCACCAGTTAGGTTTACTTCCAGATGACCCTACTGGCTGCTCTGGGTCCTGGAACGAAGGGTAAAGGCCGTCTAGTGTCATGTTGGGCCGGGCAAGCGGTTCCTGAGCTCTTGGTTCAGCCTTGTGTTGGGCGGTGGGTAAGGGTTTGGGGACCCTGAGCCTGGTTCCCCAGGGTCGGGGGCAGCCAGAGCAGAGGCCTCCAGACTTGACGCCAAGACCATGCCAGAACCCATACTCCCACAGTTCGTGAGCCTGGGGTCAGCCTTTCCTGCCCCCGCTCCCAGCCCGCCCCCGGCTCTCTGGCCCTACCTGCTACCATGTGGCCTTGGCTTTGAGTGACCTCCGGGCTCCCTGGTGACCTTGCCCCCCCAACTCCAGCCAGCATGTCAGCATCACCTCCCTCCCCGCTAGTGGCGCTATCCTGTCCGAGGCGGCAGAAGCCAACCAGCCTGCCCTGCGGCTCTCACCTGGGAACCAAGGACTGGGCATTCGCGGCGAGTCGGGCAGGGTCCCACGGCGTCACGCGCCCAGCGCCCGCGTCCCTTCCGCGCGGCAGGGGCGGGGGCGGGGGGGCGGAGACAGCGCGCGGGGCGGAGGCAGCTCTCGCGGGGCGCAGGAGGCGGGGGCCGCGCCGACCGCGGAGCGCGTAGCCGAGGGCGGAGCGCAGCGCGCCGCTGCCGCGACCCCAGCGGCCCGTCCTGCCGTGCGCCGCGCCTGCTCCCGGGCCGCGGGCTGCGGCGGCGCGCGGGCGGCGCTGACCTCTGCGGAGGCGGCAGGGGCTCAGCATCGGGCCGGGGCCGGGGGGCCGCCGGGGCCGGGGGGCGGCGCTCCGGCCCGGCCCGGCCCCGCCCGATGTCCATGAGTGCGAACACCATGATCTTCATGATTCTGGGGGCGTCGATCGTGATGGTGAGCGGAGGGGCTTCCCGCGCGCGCCCCCTGCGCCCCGCCCGCGCGCGCGCCTCCCCCGCCTCGCCGCCTTGTTTACCGGCCCGCGCGGCCCGCGCCGCCCTCCGCCGCCCCGCGCGCCCTCCCCGGCGGCGCTGCCCCCTCCCAGGCCCTCCGGCCCGGCCCACTCCTCGCCCTGACCGGTCATGGGTTCTTCCAGGCCATCGCGTGCTTGATGGACATGAACGCGCTGCTGGACCGATTCCACAACTACATCCTCCCGCACCTGCGGGGCGAGGACCGCGTCTGCCACTGCAACTGTGGCCGGTGAGTGCGCCCCGGCGCGGGGCACGACACGCGTGATCACACATGTGCGCGGGGCCCGGGGGGCCGGGGGGGCCGGCGCGGGCCGCAGAGCCGCGCCAGGCAGCGGGGCCCACCTCGGCCTACCAGCTGCTGGGGGAGGGGCTGCCCGCCGGGAACCGGGACTGAGGACCCCCCCACCAGCCGTCCCCTGCCCTAGAGAGCCTGTAGAGAAAGGGCCGCCAGGGGGTGGCGGAATGGGCCGCCGGCCTCCTGGTCTAGGGCCTGGAGGCTGGAGAACAGCAGCCCAGTGTCCAGTGTGGTGGCCACCGTGGAGGCCCGGCCCAGCTCGGCCCAGCCCAGCGGGTCCTCCTCACCGCCGCTGTGTGTGCGCGGACCTTCCTGTGAGCCAGGGCAGGCAGGTGGAGGAGGTCAAGTTGGGGAGGGCCGACACTGAGGAGCTCCTGGCACAGCCCCTCCGAGTGGAGAGGGGGAACTGAGGCAGGGGTGGGGCTGAGGCTTGCTCAAGGTCACAGTGAGCCCCTGCCACATGCCCCTGAGTGGCCTGTGCTCCCGTGCACGTGTAGTGATGGAGTCTTCCTGCCCATGCATGTCTGTACGTCCATGTACGAAATAAACATCTTCTCATGAGCCGCGCATGTGTGTACCGTCTGTGCATATACATGTGCGTACACACAGTGCACACACCGCATGCACTCATCTCAGAGAGGCCCTCCCGCGGTGACTGTTGTCCCTGCTGGACAGACGAGGAAGCGGACAGAGGTTTTAGAGGATGGACTCACCCAAGGTCATGCAGCCAGGAGGGGATGGGACTCCGACCACAGAACCTGCCCTCACCCTACCTTGCAGGGCTGTTCCTAGGCTCTGTGGACATGTGAGGGTGGCGGGGGGGTGGGGGGGTCGGGGTGCCAGGGCAGTTGCATGTCTCCCCCAGTGTGTCACATGCCTCCGGGTGCAGACAGGCATGTTGCAGGACAGCGAGTGTGCCCTCGCATGTGCTGGACACAGTGGGAGAGGTTGCTGGTGGGCACATGCTCCCTGAGAAATCTGGGTGCCACCTGGTGTGCCTAGTCTGCCCAGCATGGCCCACAGCGCAAGAGAGGCACGAGGGCACACCCCCTGCTTGTGGGCAGTGCCCGTGGTGGAGCTGAGACCCTCTCAGGTGGACAGTGTGCATGCCCTGGCCCAGACACTCAGCTCTGGGAACACACACTTAACAAGTATGGGTCATCAGATGTGCCCAGCGTGGCTCTGCCTGGGGCCGCACACGGAAGGGCTGCCTGGGTAGACAGAGGGCGTTGTTCAGAGTGTGTTTGCCCAAGGCTTGTGTATGCCTCTCAGGTAGCCTCCAGGACACATGTGGACTCATGTGGAAGAGGCGCCTGCAGAGTGGAGGCTGACTCGAGGCCTGTATTGCAGACCCCCGCCCCACTATGCACACGGAGCGTCTCTGCGTGTCTACATGTATGTGCTTTGTACACATTTCTACATATAGGATATGTAAATTCATACAAAGTACTCTTGTATATTGACAGCATATATATGTGTATGAAAAGTACATGTATATAGAACAATATACAGTGCCGAGTGCTCAGAGGAATGTCAGATCGTCTCTGTGTGGGTGCAGCGACTATGTGCAGATTACAGGTTTGCATGTGGGGTATCCATTTATACACCATGTACACGTCTGCCACAACAGATTCTACCTGTGTACACACCGTGCAGAAAAAGCGTACACACGTTTGTGTCTCGTACATGCCTCTACATGGAATTTCATACAGAGGACATGTATGTGAATTCTGTGCAGCATGCACATTAGCAGGCAGCGTCAGTGCCTGTGCACATGGATCTGTGCACAGGACAGCACCCCACAGAGAGGCCGGCTCTGTGTACGTGGAGTGATGTGCATCCATGTGTGACATGCCACGCTCATGCCGGCGTGTGCTCAGTGCATGGATGTGGGGCTTGTGGGATTGTGGGACCCTGGTCCACAGTATACACACTGTGCTCTGTGCATGTGGCCAGTGTGTATACACGACATGCTTTGGGCCCTGGGTGGACACATGCAGCATGTGTGGCGCAGGCGGGTCACATGTCTGTACCTATCACAGACACATGTGCACACAGCACATCCCTCTGTCTTCATCTGGGAGACCTGAGCGCCCACCTCCATGGCTGGACCTGGAGTTAGGAGGAGGCCCAGGGTCATGGAAGGGGCGATGCAGATGCCCAGGCCAGCAGCAGTCCCAAGCCCAATTGTTGGCACCCTGCCTGGCCCTGCTTTCAGGGTTCCTGGGGGTTTCCTGCCCAGCCACCTGTGTTGGGGGGAGTCAGAGTTCTTTCAGTGCCCCGGGGACCCTAATGGGTCAGGAAACATTTCCTCCCAGGGACTGGCCCAACCCCATGTTCTCTGTTACCATCAGTGATTTTCCATCATGACGACAGATAATGTCTGTTAAGCTTGTAATCAGATGAGTGACAGCTGCCAGGTCAGTCATGGTCACTCCTCACAAGTGGAGCATGGTCCAGCAGCCCAAGCCCTGCCTACTGGGACTGGCCAGTGTGGATGAAGGGGCTGAGCCCCAGGAAGAGCAGGAGAGGTTCTGAGCGGCCTGGCTGGGGGCTGCCCCTTCCCTGCCTCTGGGTGGGAGGTGGACAGCATGGGCCCTGCTCAAGGAAGATGAGTCAGTTTTCTTTTGGGGGGAAGGTCCCTCTGGGTGGGGGAAGGAGGGAAGACCAGGCCTGGGCAGGAAGACTGCAAGGCTGATGGGCAGAGCCACAGGGTCTGCTGCAGCTTGTTGAGGGGAGGAGGGGGAGCAGGTTTGGGGAGCCAGGAGCTATTTTCAGCATGCGTTTGAGGTGTCTGTAGATCCCACGTGGAGACGCGCAGGCAGCCGAGCGCCCAGCAGACATGGAGGTAGCAGGGAGGAGAGTGGCTGTGAGGTTTGTTTGGCCGGCAGGAGCAAAGGATGGGGCCACAGACAGGACGGCAGGGAAGAAGAGGGTGCCACCAGAGCATGTTGTCGTGGCACTCTGGGCCCCAGGGCCACCAACCCCCTCTTCCTGGCTAGGATGTTCAAATCTGCTGTCATGGGGACCAGTTCCCCCTGCAGGTCCACCACTGGGAGTTCTGGGGCTGGAGGGCTCCCTGGAAGTGGGGCAAGCCACCAGAGGAAGAGAGGAAGCTGCGGTAGTGCCACCTACAGGCTTTGGAGAGCAGAGCCCCAGTCCTCGAGAGCCCAGTGCCTCCTGGGGGCATGGTGTGGCTTGTTTGAGGAGACCAGGGCCATGGTGGGTGCCTGGTTCAAGGGGAGGGGCTCTGGCGTCCATCCCACGGCAGTGAGTGGGCAGTGATGGACATGGGTGAGGATGTAAGAATGGGGTGTGGGGCAGAGTCCTCAAGACCTCCAGCACGGGAGTGAGGCAGGGAGGCACAAGTTAGGGACCAGAAGGGGGGGGCGCGGGAGTACCCCCGAGGGCATGGAGTGTAGACTGCTCTTAGGCACTGGCCCTTGGGCTCTGCTGGGCCTCGACAGTCCCCACAGTCAGCAGGTGGACCAGGGCTCATGCCTGGGGCCCTCAGGAAAGAGGGAGGTGCTGGGTGAGGGTACATCCCCTAGCCAGACCCTCCCTAGACATCGTTACGGGCAGCAGGATCTTGGCCTCCCACCTGCCCTGACAGTTCTGCCTGGCAGCCTGGGGCTGGGGGGGGGTCTGATGACTCTTCCCAACCAGCGCACAGGGATGGCTTCAAAGAACTCCCTGAGGTGCCCCGTGGGAGTCACACCACCTGCCTCGGGGACCCCCAGCCTGCCCAGCGTGGACCCGGGGAAGCCAGGCCAGGGTTGGCGGGAGAGGTGCCAGCCCGCCCTGCCGCCCGCAGGCACCACATCCACTACGTGATCCCATACGACGGGGACCAGTCGGTGGTGGACGCCTCAGAGAACTACTTTGTGACGGACAATGTGACCAAGCAGGAGATCGACCTCATGCTGGGGCTGCTGCTGGGCTTCTGCATCAGCTGGTTCCTGGTGTGGATGGACGGCGTACTGCACTGTGCCGTGCGTGCCTGGAGGGCCGGCCGGCGCTACGGTGAGTGCCTCCCACCCGCCGCTGGGAAGCCCCGGCCCAGCCTGGCCGCCTGACCGCCCTGTCCCCTGCAGATGGCTCGTGGGCCTGGCTGCCCAAGCTGTGCAGCCTGCGGGACCTGGGCCGGAGGCCGCACAGGCCCTTCGAGGAGCCGGCGGGGAACATGGTGCATGTGAAGCAGAAACTCTACCACAACGGGCACCCGAGCCCACGGCACCTGTGAGCCGCGCCCAGGACTCAGGGCTGCTGTGCAGACCAGACCGACCCCGCGGAGGCCCAGCTGGCCGAGCGGGACTGCGGCCTCAGGCCCAGGGTGTCCTGGCCTGTGGCTGGCCGGGTTGTGGCTGCAGGGCAGGTCCAGCGGAAGGTGCTGTCTCTTCTTTTTATAAAGGGGGTGGGGTGGGGGCTGGGGTGGGGCTGGCCACCGGGCCTCAGGGCAGGACACAAGGGCAGGCTCTGTCCTAGAGGGGCTGGGGGCCAAGGGGGGTGGGTCCTCAGTAGGGACAGGTCTGGCCAGGGTCAGGACTGGACTCAGGCCACATCTGATTGAAAGCTGCTGTTTCCTGTGCACTGTGTTGTCCGTCCATCCATCCGTCCGTCCGTTTGGTCTGGAGTGGGGGGAGGCGCCAGGGACTGCGCCGTCAGCACACGGGAGCATGTGCATGGGGCGTGTGCGACTGAGAGTGGTACAGGAGGGAGGACAGGCCCTCGGCAGCTATCAATAAGGGTGGGGCCTGGGCACCCCAGCACCTCACTGTGAAGCCCACCCTGCCTGGCCAGTAAACTCTCCAGAAAGCTCCAGCCTCTGCGTCTTCCGTCACCTGAAACCCCAAGGGCTGCAGAGGGGCCCCCACAGCCCGCCCCTCATATCAACCACGAGACACACAGCAAGGGTCAGTCAGTTTTATTAGATTTTGGAAAGAAGGGCCCCCCGCCTGCTGGAGGGGGCAGCAGCTTGGAGCACCAGACGTCATGGACCGGTGGCTATCTGGCTCTGGATCCACCCCACTAGGTCAGGGCTGGGCTAATTCTTGGCACAAACATGTGCAGGGCAGCATCCAGGCCAAGGCTGAGCCAGTGACCTCACTGCCCCTCTGGTCCCCACAGGCCCCGGTCCTGCTGGCCAGGCTGTAGCCACCAGCCTTGGGTACCCAGCTCGCCTTGGAGGCCCGACCCTCCCCCAGCCAGCACCCCTGGCAGAAGGGCAGACTTGGGGTCAAGGCTGAAGGGGAGCTGGTGGGAAGGCACTGCAGGCCGCGTGGCTGCACTTCCCAGAGGGTGGGCCAGGCGTTCCAGCCTAGCTGGCCTGCTGTGGACTCAGGTGCGGGGACTCGCCAACCTGGGGCCTGGGGCCCTCCAGAGTCAGCCACTGCATCTTCTGCTGGTGCTGCTGGATGGCATCCTGGACCCGGGCGTCCATCATGGCCTCGGTGAGCACCCCATCCTCAGAGGCATACGCCATGGCCTGCAGGAAAGAGGCCAGCAGCCTGCACAGGGGCAACTCACTCTGCAGTGGCCTCCCAAGGGCCCCAGTGTGGCCTGACCCATGTCTACAGGGGCTCTGCACATCCCAGCACGGCCTCTGTGCTCCGGAGTTTCTACCATAGAGAGCCCAAGTCGAGACACACACCGGGCTGACCCACAAGCCCCTCCCAGGCAGAACAAATGCAAAACCCGCAGGCGACTCTGGGCACACAGGGGAACCCTGAGTGGTCACCTCTGGACAGGCTGCCACTCCTGCACTCCCTATCCTAAGGACATCACGGGGGTCCAGCCAGCAGGGGTCAATGGCGTCGCCGTAGTCACTGCACTTGGGTGGCTGAGGCTGCAACTCGCCGGCAACAACAGCTCTAGAAGCACCAAAAGGGTCGGTGGGCCCCAGGGTGCGGCGGCTCGGCTGAGGGGTCAGGCCAGGGTGCAGGGACCTCACCGCACTGTGCTCGGGAGGGAAGGGGAGCTGGGGTGCCTGGAGGAAACTCAGGGCAGTCCCAAGCAGGGGGTCCTGCCTCCAGGCCACCTGAGTGGGACCCTCACCCACAGCCTGGGCCCTCCTCCCAGACACTGGATTCCCCCCAGGGGCAGGCGTGCTTGGCTGGCGCTTGTGGGGCCTGGGGCCGTGACTGCATGGTGCCATGAGGGCCGGAGTGCACAGGGCCCCTGCCTCACCTCCACCTGCTGCGGGAGCAGACCCCACCTTGAAGCCAGACCACCAAGTTGGGGAGGGAGCAGAAGGTAAGGTGGAAGCTGCACATGAGACTGGCAGGTGGACAGGGCACAGCCCAGCCCTGCTCAGCATGGAGCCTGCTGCGTGGCAGGACACAGCGACCATGCTTCACCCAAGGCAGGGACCTGCTGCAGCACGGTAGGACAGAGGGCAGCACAAGTCACGCTGCTGTCCTGACTCCCTTCGAGTCTATACTGGCCCAAGAGACACGTTCACCAGGGTGCAGAAGCGCATGCCTGCAGCGCAACACTCAGGAGGCCGAGGCAGGAGGCCGCCTTGAGGCCAGGAGTTCCAGGCAGCCTCAACAACACGGTGAGACCCTGTCTCAGAGATGAACAAACAAGCCAGGTGCAGTGGCCACACCTAGAATCCCAGTCACTCGGGAGGCTGAGGCAGGAGGATCACATGTTCACCACACCATAGCAAGCCCCTGTCTCTAGATTACAAAGTTTTGAAAAGGGCTGGGGAAGCGGCCACGTGGGATGCTGACCAGGAGGGTCCCTGCTGACTCCTTCCTCAAGACCAGTGCTACCCTGACACCTGCCAGCAGCGGCAGACCAGTGGGCATGGCCCCAGGGATGCAAGGGTGTTCCCGTGGGAACACTGTCACGCACACAGCAGAAGCCAATGCAGGGCCAACACGTGGCACTTGGCCAGCTCCCTCCTTGGGGTCCTGAGGTGGCCGGGATGCTCCACCACTGAGCCACATCCTAACACTTTTTATCTTGTACTTTGAGGCGGGATGCCATCAAGTGGCCTAGGCTGGCCTGGAACCTGTCATCCTCCTGCCTCAGCCTCCCTTTCCTAATAAAAACACCCCACAGAGAGGTACAGAAAGAGACTTCTCAACACAGTGGGAGCACAGGTCAGGAGCCTGCCAGCTCCCCTAAGGCAGGCCGGCAGACCACCACTGAGCCCCTCCACAGCACAGCACTGGAGCCCTCCCTGGCAACTGGGCAAGAAGAGTGGGCTGAGCCAGAGAGAAAGAAGCCAGTTGCTTCTGCTCCCAGACGCTGTGACCCTGTGGGTGGCAGGGCTTGGGGGCCACTGAGACCACACAGCCCCAGCTCCTGCGAGGGCTCCCGCCCAGCACCATCCTGCACACATGCACTCGCCCGCAGATGTGTCCTAAAAACCAACCCATCAGAACTGATCAGGACACAAGGTCAACACACACAGCAGCTGCAGTTCTGCACCCTGACAGAAATTCCAAAAGGAAGTAATTCCATTTATACAAATATAAAAAGGAATAAAATGTTTAGGAATTAATCAAGGAGAAGAAAACCTTTACGGGAAAACCGCACAATACCACCAAATGGGACTGAAGAACACAGGAGGTGGTGCACACAGCCTGGTGCGGAGCTCAGGCTGAGGCCGGAGGACTCAGGTTTGAGGCCAGCCTGGGCCTCTTAGCAAGACCCTGTCTCAAAATAAAAAACAAAGGGGCTGGGTTTGTGGTTCAGCGGTAGAGTGCTCGCCTAGCACGTGCGAGGCCGTGGGTCCAATCCTCAGCACACATAAAAACAAATAAATATACTGTTTCTAACTAAAAAATAAACATTTTTAAACCTAGAGCTGCTCAAGTGTCTTTCTTTTGAGACAGGGTCTTGTTGAGTTGCTCTGGCTGGCTTTGAACCCAAGATCCTCTTCCTTACTGTGAAGACCCTTCTGTGAGGAAAGGGCGGTCTTCTCAAAACGGATGCTTGGAAAACTGGGTATCCGCAGCCAACGACACGAGGCTGCACCTCCAACTCACGCCCTCACAAAGCCAGAGCGCTTGGCTGGTGTGCACAAAGCCCTGCATTCTTGCCAGTTATGCACCAAAGAAAAAGACCAGAACTATAAACCCCAGGGAAAAGCCACAGGGCAGGAGTGGCCACAGTGGTACCAGAAGACTGCTAGTTCAAAGCCAGCCTCAGAAATACACAGACCCTGTCTCAAAATAGAAGAACGAGAGGGCTGGGGATGCAGTTCAGTGTTAACAGCACCTCTGGTGCAGCCCTTGGGACCTCCCCCTAAAAAGGAAGAACACAGTGACGGCGGGAGTCCGACAGACTGGACTTGGCATCCTCCTGGAGGAGCCAAAGGCAGCAGAGCGAGAGTCGGCCTCTACAGCACTCACCAGAGCACAGATGAAAGGTCTGCCCTGAACAGCTGGGGAGGGGCTGAGACCCAGAGTACACCAACAGCCAAGATCGAACACCGCCACCCGATCTCAAGTGGGCAGGGGACCTGAAGAGACGTGTCTTCAAACAGGCACAGGTGGCGACTAAGCACCAAAAAGGATGCTGGTGACCAGGGAAGAGCAACTGAAGCAGATCTGTGGTGCCCCACGCCACAGCCATGCCTATAATCCCATCAACTGGGGAGACCCAGGCAGGAGGCACCAAGTTAGAGGCCAATCTGAGCAGCTTAGAGAATCCCTCAGCAAGGCAGCAAAACCACCTCAAAATAAAAAAGAGAAGGAAGAGGAGTATGGCTGAGGGACAGAGCACCCAGGTCAAGCCCTGCATGAATAAACACCAGGGCCACCAGCACAGGGCAGAGCTGCCCTGGCAACTGTGGGCACACAAGGCCCTGAGGAGACAGGACACCCGCAGTGTGGCCACACACTGAACGCAGGGGTGCTGCGGCCTCCTGTTCAGGCACCAGCACTGGGAAGACCCACACTGCCCAGCATACACGCTGTCTCCAGCACTGTGACCCGGCCCAGCCCATGGGTGCAGAGACGTGGCCATGGGAGGCTGACTGTCCTGGAAACCAGCTCCCGCAGACCACGAGGCAACCACAGAAGTCCTGGTTGTCACAGCTCACACCCCGAGGCCCACAGGGCAACCCTGACAGGCAGTGGCCACGTCTGGTACCCAAGTGACTCGGGAGGCAGAGGCAGAAGGATCCCAAGTTCCAGGCCAGCCTCAGTAACTTAGCAAGACCCTGTCTCAAAGTACAAAGGGTCGGGGGCGGGGGGAGAACACCAAACGCTGATGAGCTTGGGGAGAGACCGAGGCCCCAGAGAAGGTAGTCTGTGGGCGCTGCTGCATGGCCCAGCCCAGCCCAGCAGCTCCACTCTGGGGTAGAGAACGGAAAGCCGGCTCCTGAGTACCCTCCGCCAGCTGGGAGAAGATGAGGAAAAGAAAGGGGGGCTGCCTAGCAGCTGGGGATGAGGGGGAGTGAGAGGTCAGAGGGCATAGGGCTTCCATCTGGGAGGACAGGAAGTTCCAGCAATGCACAGCAGTGATGGCCCCAGCAGATGCCATAGGCCTGCGCCCGTCAAGATGGTGCCGGGTTGGTGAACCTGAGGGTAAGTGCAGAGGCAGGACGCAGGACTCACTTCACACACACCGAGCTGAGCTTTGGCGCCCCAGGGCTGGGTCTGTGGACAGCCGTCCGGTGTGGTGAGCTGCTCCTGCAACACGGGCCACAGCAGCATGCCAGGTCACCCTCTGCCAGATGACCCTCCCCAGGCCATGATGACCATGATCACACAGGCCTCGGGGCCTGCATTTGGAGCCTGGGCCTTGGAGGAGTCATGGAAGTGAATGAGGCTGCGAGCTTGCCCCCAAGTCAGTGCCACCAGAAGACACCCCAAGAGCCGCTCACCACCCCCAAGGACACACCAGGATGTGGCCCTTGCAGGCCTCAGGTGCTGCTCTGGGGGACAGACCACAGCCTCAGAACCGGGAACACAATGTGGTGCCATGGTGCCACCTGCACCCTGCCGAGTACTCTGGTCTCTGGTTTGTCGACCACAATAGGTCCCACAGCACAGCCCTCAGCTGGCTAGACCCGGAGGTGGTCTTATCTGTAAGAGCAGCTGAGCACCCTGATGGAAGCAGATCTCTCTCTAGCTAACCTCTTGCACAGAGGTGACCAGGTGGGCGTGGCACCCAGCACGGCTTCTCAGCAGCCACCAGAGGCTGTGATCTCCAGGTGCTCCCAGCACTGCCGGAGCTGAGCCGGGGTCAACGGGGGCACTCTGCCCTGTGAGCCCTGAGCCACACATAGTCCACACACCTGCCCCCACTCTGCAGCTGACCTGTCGGAGAAAGCAGAACCTCAAGAGGGCTCATGCAGAGCAGGTGGCTGTGAGGTTCCACCTGAAGTAGGTGCTCAGAATCTGTCCAGCTCCCCACCTGACGGGCTAGGTGAACAGCCCCTCGGCCCCCACCTGCCTCAGAGCCTCCCGTACATCTGCCCGGGCACCCTGGCCTTCCCTAGGATGATGTGTTCTGTGTTCACAAGCCCTTCCAATGCAGCCCAGACAGCATGAGCCAATGGGGGAGCAGCCCCCGGTGAGGGGGAGTAGAGCAGGGGCCACACCCTCCATAGGCCTCAGAGCCCAAGAGCTCCACTCACCTGCCAGGCTACGGCCAGCTGGGCGATCTCACGGCCCGACATACCCTCCGTCAGCTGGGCAACCTCTGAGCACTTCCTGCTGTAGTCAAACTGGGCCAGTTTCAGACGCCTGTAGGAAGAGTCTCAGGTGGTGCCCAGCCAGCCAGGGCTGCACACGGCACAGAGCTAGGGAGACGGGCGTCAAGGCCGCCCACCTCATACCAGAATCATGGGCTGTCCTGGGCACCCCTTGGCTGCTCCTCTGAACATAAGCCAGGGTCTGCCAACACCTGGATCCTCCTGGCTAACCTGCTATGGGGCCAGGCTGGGGCGCTGCACCCCTGCACCCCCACTTTCCACCCACTCCAGACCCAGCCCACATCTGCACACCAAACAGCCAAGCAGCAGGTGCCACTCCAAACACTTAGCCAGTGGAGTGCAGGCAGGGTCCTGGAAGGGCCGCGAACAGCATGGGTAGGCTGCACCTTCCATGTTTCCAGCAATGTCACCTTGGCCAAAGGTAGAGTGGCCATTGTGCAAGAGGTAGAGAAATGAGGTCGTGCTGCCTGGGCCAGGAGGAGGTGGGGCCTGGCCAGCAGCAGTCCAGAAGCCAGCCCACCAGGCTGCAGAAGGTGGGGGGGCGGGCAGGAAGGATTCAGGTCAGGACATGGAAGGACCTGGAGCCAGGCGCTGCCAGCCTAGGCCCCTGGAGAGGCTGATGGCAGAGCAGCCTCAGCTGACTGGGAACGTCCTGGATGCAACAGAAAGGGGAGCAGGGAGAGCCAGGGCCTTGCCACCAGGCAGGCTTTGCCCAGTGGCTTCGCCCTGCACCCAGCATCTAACAGTCATGGAGAGCCACACCCCACCCACGAGGCTCAGGGCCCCTCTGAGCAGCTCTTGGGAGCAGCACGGTGTACAGGCAGCTGGACTTGATCATCTGGCTAGGCCACTTGGTCAGCCATGGACTGCCATGACCACCCCTCTCCTCAGCAGGCACAAGGGCTTTGGAGTAAGGCTCAGGGAGCAGAGTTTAGCCTCTCCCCAGGGCCCAACATTTTCCCTAAAGTTCCCAAGTGACCCAGGTGCTTCAAATAATGGGAAGGTAAGCATGTAAAGTGGACACTAGATAGATCGGCTGCTGCCCTCAAGTAAAAAGGGGCTGGAGAAAAGGGCCAACGACCCCACAACAGAGCTGCGTATCCCAGGGCCCCGGGGAACCATCCCAAGGATGCCTGGTCCGAACAGGACCCCACCAATGGCCACAAGACCCCAGGGGAATGGAAATGCCACCAGGAGGTGGAACCTGCTGGACATGCCCAAAGGGAGGAGGGATGGGGTGGCTGCTGACAGCAGATGGCAAGAGGGTGGCAAGCGGGCCTGGACACTTACTGCTTTCCTTCTGTGGCTGGCTTAAGAACAAACTTGTCAAAATACATCCTCACCAGGCGCTCCCGCTCCTCGAGCCGCGGCAGGTGGAAGCAGACCATCTCATCAATGCGGTCACTGACAGCCCAGTCGAAGTCCTCAGGCTGGTTGCTGGCCAGGACCAGCATGAACCTGCAGGCAACAGGCACACGGGCTGAAGCCGGCAGGCAGAGGGCTTCTTGCTCCTCAGGGAAACCTCCAGAAGAACCACTTGGCACCTGGGGGCTGAGCCCAGGGACCCATGCGTGGGAGGCCAGGACTGTACTGCTGAGCTGCACCCACCCTGGCTGGCACTTCAACCAGGAAACCCTGGGAGCCCCCAGCAAGGCCCCCTGCACAGTGCAGGCCCCAGCTGGCGTGTGTCCACGTTCCTGTTCTAGCCCCAGTGGGCTTCTCCAGTACAGATCCCAGACCAACAGGCAGCACCAGCAGGACACTTGTTCCCTCTTGCTGAGAAGCCTCACTATGCTGGGCAAACCAGGCCATGGTGTCCAGCAGATGCCTGGCCAGGCTGGGGACGGGGATCTTGACTGGGCCTGGCAGGAACCTCAACTTGCCTCAGAGCATCCGGGCTCAAACAGCAGCCCCAGCTAGCAGGCGTCTGAGAATGCTTTGTGACCAGTGAGCAAGGAACAGGACGAGGGGACTTGGAAAGGTGTGTGGGAACACAGCACCCAGGCTGACCTACCTCTGGAACAGCCCAAGAAGCTCCTCCAAGTGAGACCTCTCTTTGAGGCCTGGAGGCTGCCCTGGGCCCCGAATCCCTCTGGAGGCCAAGGTCCTGTGCTCCATCCAGGATACGTGGGAACTGCTCCTGCCCTCACTCCCACCCAAAGTGCCCACCTATGCCCCTGGTGAGCCTCCTGAAATCCTGAGGGACGCCAGCCACAACGGGGGTCTCAGCTTTGCCTCCCTCGAAGTCAAGTGGAAGATTGGAAGCCAAAGGGTGGGAGGGGTCATGTGAGTTGGTGGCCCTGCCTGGCAGAACCTGGTATGGTTTCTCTGTGACACTTGCTGCCCTTCCCAGACAGGGGTGTCAAGAACAGCCCTGACAGCTGCCCAGGCACCAAGTGCTGGACTCTGGACCCTAGCCGTTAGCAGTGGGCATGCCTGGGCAGTGCCCCCACTTCCCTTGTGAGGCCAAGTGTGACAATGCTGCAGGTACTCTGCCCAGGGCAAGGGGAGGTCAGGGGCTCACTTGCTGCTATGCTGGCCAGTCCTGTGCAGGAAGGCGTTGAGGGCAGCCCTGAGGTCTTCACTGATCTTCTCCTGCAGAGGGAAGGCTTTGGTGTTGGTCATAAGCCTGAGAAGTGGGGAGGGTTCTGCAGGCCACTCCTGCAGGGCAAGTGTGGGCTCAACCCCATCTGAAAGCTGGAACTGCACTTCACGCCCTCAAAAATGCTAAGAGGGCTGGGGCACTCAGTGGTGGCACATGTGCTTGGCACAGCCAGGGTCCTGATTGACCACGTCACCACAAAATTGCTCTTGGCTCCAGCTGCAAATGCCCAGAGTGCCCAGCATCCTCACATGGCCAGGGACGCACCCAGGGGACTCACTGTGGCTCTCTTCCTAAGAAAGGCGTCTGCTTCATCCACAAAGAGCAGGAGGCTGTGAACAAGAGCGTGCCACACGAGTGGATGCTTGAACCCACAAGACAGCCCCAGGGCCACAGGCTCTACCCACCAGGACCTCTAACACGCATCCAGTAGAGCCACGCAGCAAGGCCAGGGGAAACCTGCGCAGGCTGCCTGCAGCTTCCAGAGGAGCGGGTGCAGGGCCTGGTGCAGGGCCCGCCCGAGCAGCCAGGGAAGGTGCAAGTCCAGGGGACAGGAGAAGGGGGCACGCCTGGGGCGACTAGTAGGGCCGACCACGCCACCGCCAGACTATCCTGCTGAGGGGGTCATGGCCTCAGATGGCTTTCAGGAGGTTCACGTAGGAACACCACCTGCACGCATGCACACCATCAGCACACACACTCAATGGAGCACCTGTGTGGGGCAGACCCTCCCCACCTGAGCTCACCCCTCACTTCTCTAGTCTCTAATCTCTAACCAGTAGCCCCTTCGAACTGGAGGGGAAAGACCAACAGCCCATCCTCAGCATGTTGACGGACCCTCCGCTCTAGACAGACCCTCTGACAAGTCCCCACTGCTCAGAGGCTAGAGGCTGCTTGTGGCCTGCACAGCATGGAGGGCAGAACACAAGGGGACAGTGGGTACCAGCAACCTGAAAGAGTTGCTTCCCAGCTCTGGAGGTGGAGTGGTGAACACGGCCGCTTTATAGAACAGCATCCCCGGGGTGGCCAATGGCCTGGGGACCAGGGACCTGCGCAAGGGGTACACTCTCACCCTCGCCGGCTGGTGTTGGCCCAGTCGAAGACCTTGTGCATGGCGGTGACACCCTCCCGCCCCATGGGGGCCACGTCCCCGCCTGTCATGATGGCGTAGTCCATGCCTGAGTGCAGCGCGAGTTTCTGGGCAGAAGGGGTGCAGGAAGGAGAGAGCACAGATGTTATACACCCTCTGCAAAGGCAACAGCCCACCAGCCACTCTGGTGCCTGAAAAGCCCCACAAGAAGCACTAGTGCTGAGCATCACAGTGGTGCTGAGAGGCTTGGGGGTCACCAATGGGGCACCTACCTGCAGCAAGAACGGGCCTCCTCACACTGACGGTGCCCCTGCAGTGGGTGTTCTTACCTTGGCAAACAGTGTCTTGCCAGTGCCTGGCGGCCCGTACATCAGGATGTTCCTGTACAGGCTTTTGTTCCTCTTGGTGTTCCTTGTTGCTATGGCAATGTCCCGCACCCGGGCCTCTAGGCTGGGCTGTCAGGGGAAGTGTGTTTGGAGACATCCTTGGGGGCGGGCATGTGTACACTATGCTGCAGTCTACTCCCCGGGGGCTAGTTTGGACTAGCTGAATACAGGCTGGCTCTAGCTAGCAAAGTGTATTTCAGAAGCCAAAGGCCATCAACAGGAGACCCGTGGGCCCAGCTCTGCTGACTTCTACAGGACCTCATAGCCCACCCAGACCCACCCCACCCATGGTGACTGACTTACACTGAGAATGACACCCTCCAGTGCATCCTGGGGCTTGCTGAGGAGCCGCCTGCTAACCTGGGGGAGCAGAGATGCAGACATGCAAGGACCTCATTCTCGGAGCTGGGAAGCCAGACCCTGAGACACATGGCATCTGCTGGGGGGCTTGGGGTGATCTATGGATCCTTCACTGAAACTTATTTTCTTATCCACCTGCCCAGAATGAATGGAGGAGATGTGGGTGCAACCCATTTGGAGGACAGGCCCAGGAGCAGGAGGCTCCATGAACTGCCTCCTTCCCAAGCAAGACAGGCACCGGGGCCCAGGGTTCGTACAGAGCCAGCGGTGCCCTGGGGTGCTGGTCACCCAGCCTGCAGCACCACACTGACACAACAGGGCCTGAAGGCGAGTTCAGACTGGGAGAACCCTCCGCAGGGGGAAGCAGATGCTGCTTGGGCACAAGGGAGGGAAAGATGATGGTGTGTGATGTAGGCAGCACTTGCCAATAGTGGGAAGAGGCCTGACAAGGACACAGAGCTCTAGGGGGCAGGTGCCCACTGCAGCCATACCTGCACAGGGTGCCTCAGAGCATCCAGCACCGATATGCGGGAGGTTTCCCTCACCAGGGACGGCTTCCCCAGCCGCGCCTCCACATAGCGGCCAGCAACGGCAGTTGCATTCTTCGCTGAATAGACCCCGACAGCCAGCAGTGTCAGCCCAGCCACCTGGAACAGAGAAGCAGGCAGCACGCCCGTCAGCAGCCTGTACCTCCTGGGTCCCTAACAGGCCCGGCCCAGCCTCAGCCCTGCTCCCTAACAGCCAGTGCTCGAGTGCCTGGAACAGTCAGATCAGAACGCTCTTCACCCCAACCTTTCTCAGAGCTGTGTTCTCTGTGACCTGCACTGCAACTCCTCTGACCCTGAGGCTGCAGGCTGAGGACGGACTTATAGCTCCAGGTGCCTATCACGGCCACAGCCTCCACTGCTTTTCTGCCCAATGAAAATGTTATAAGTTTACTCCTAGAAAACAAGACTAACCCCAAATGACTAATCCATATCACGCACACGCACACGCACACACACCAGTCAACAACCAGCTTACTGGGAGCTCCCTCACTTCACAACATGGTAAGAAGGTACCTCCTAACCGGGGCTCAGGCAGAGCTGGCCCAGCAGACACGAGGCCCTGGGTTCCACCCCAACGCTGCAAATGCCAAAACACAAGTCACAGAAGAAAAGAAGGGCTTCTTTCCTCAACAGACAGCACTGCATCTGTGCAGTCCCAGCTGAGTGGGCAAGGCTGGCCTCAGCCAGGCCCTATGACTGTGGACCCACAGCCATGCCAGCCAGACCCTAACCCTGGGTGATCAACCCCTGCTACACTGAAAAGCCCTTAGAGACGGTGTGAGGAAGCAGCAGACGTCCACCGCTCAGCATCAGAGTCCCTGCGCAGTGGAAGTAGGTAGGCCCATTCTGCAAAAGCTGCCAGGAAGAGCCAGGTAATGTGGAACACATCAACAACTCAGGAGGCTGAGACAGGAGGCTCACACGATCAAGGCCAGCCTGGGCAACTTGGCAAAGGTCCTCTCAAAACAAAATGTGAAAACACACTAGGGATGTGACTTAGTAGTAAAGTGCCTGGGGTTCAATCCCAGTATTTAAAAAAAAAAAAAAAAAAAAAAATGGTGCCAGAACCTTTCAGGATGCTGCAAAGCCAGCCAGCTGCAGTCCTCCAGTCTTCCAAAGCCTCAAACATGGCACTGCCATGGCTGGAGGCTTGTGCCCAGGGGCACATGCTGGGGGCCTGGTCCTGTCCATGGAGGGGAAGGGGCAGAACCTTTAAGAGGTGGGCGCTAACCCAGGAGTGGTGGCCACACTTGTAATCCCAGTGAATGGAGAGGCTGAGCCAAGAGGATCGTAAGTTCAAGGCCAGCCTCAGCAACACAGCAAGGCCTTAAGCAACTTAACAATTTAAAAAGGGATTGAGAAGGGGCCAGGTTTGTGGCTCAGTGGCAGAGCACTTGCCTAGCACGAGTGACGCACTGGGTTCAATCCTTAGCACCACATAAAAATAACAACAAAAAAGATAAAGTTTAAAAAAAAAAAAAAGGATTGAGGATACAGCTCAGTGGTCTAAAGTACTCCTGGGTTCAATCCCCAGAACCAAAAAAAGAGGCGGGGCCTAGGAGAGAGTCATGAGGTCGGGGGCTCAGCATCAGGAATGGATCAGTGTCTCTTGGACAGACTATCAGTTCTCTCCAGAGCAGGATATCATAAAGCAAGGCCACCCCCTGTGCCCAAGCCTTCTGTGTGTGACTGGTTGGTTCCCTTTCCACTTCTCTGCTACATTGTGTCCTAGCCAGTGGGCCCTGGTCAGGAGGCCAGTAGTATGTCATTTGGACCCTAGCAGCACCAGAATCTGAAGCCAATAAACCTCTTTATAAGTTACCCAGCTTTGGGTATTTTGCTAGAGGGGGAAAAAAAAAAGAAGACCAAATCGCTTAAAATCGATCCAAAAAGGCTCCCTCTCATCTAGCTGCACCTCCTCTCCCTGGCTGAGGAGGAACAGGAGCAACGGCAGCAGCCAGCAGTACAAGCAGAGGCAGCCCCGGGCCTTGCTCCAGCTCCAACACGCCCCGAGCACCAGGTGCTCCACCCTGTCAGCAGGAACAGAGTTGCAGCACACCAGAGGGCCCCCCAGAACACCCAGAGCTGCCTGCCAGGCACACCTCTGGGGATGCATGATGCCTACCGTGGCTGTCACTTTGTCCCAGTCTGTCACAAAGGCACGGAATCCTTCACCAAACAAGGTGCCAGCCGTCCTGTTGGGGGAGAACAGCCACATGATGGGAAGGGATGTGGGACCTGGACACAGAGCTGGAGAAGGTCAAGGGCGACACTCCCCTGCAGCTTCCTATACTCTCAGAGGCAAGCCCTGAAACACAGGGGCAGAGAAACCCCACCAGCATGATGACCCCAGCTAGTGACCTTAGAGGGGCATCCCACGGCCAGCACCACACAGCCAGGGCTCCTGCTGAATGCTCACCTGATGGACTCCAGAATGGTCTGGCGGTGCTCAGCAGCCTTCAAACGGATCTGCTCCCGGGTGATGTCCGCATTCTCCCGCTCGGCTCTGGCCCGCGCCCGGGCCTCTGCCTCCACGCGCAGCATCTCGTTTTTGTGCCGCAGCTCCATCTCCCGCTCCACAGTGGCTGCCCCAGAAAAGGCAGGACAGCAGGGTTCAGCCTGGCAGAGCCAGCCTCTGCCCACAAGGCCAACACATAGACCTCAGCAAAAGTGATCCAGGAACAGTATAGAGTTCAGCGAAAAGACCCGCCTGGGGTCCAGCTCCAGCAAGCAAGGGAACCCCATGACCAGGCCACCCTTCTAAGGATTGTGCACACTTAAGGAAACAAGATGAAGCACAGAGGATCACAGGGCAAGCCAACTGATGCCGAGACCAGCTGTCGTGTGGCCAGACCCACGGGACACAGCCAAGTGCCCTTCTGTGCAGCGCCTGGGGGAAATGCCCATAGCCACGACAAAGCGAAACCCACATGGTGGCTTCAGGTCCCCCTGGCCCACAGAGACAGGAAATAATAGTCCTTTCTTCTGGACACACGTGCGTGCAACGCTGACACCATGGCCCACTCATAAATGCAGCTTCCACAGGGTGGTAAACACGGATTCCCACCCAGGCAAACCAGTGTCAGAGGCACACGGCCAGGCTGCAGAGGGGCCTCTACTGAGAGCAGCCCCACCCACGAGAACAAGAATCTGGACTGCCTGATGCACTGCAGAGCCCAGGCTTGGGATGCTGGCCTAAACTGGGACTCTTGGCACGCTGTTAAGATGCTTCTGAGGGACTGAGGGACACACAGAGCCACCCCCCACCAGTGGACTCCTTCTTCCGGGAGCCCCCTTCACCCCAGCGTGACCCTTACCTCGCCGCATGGCTTCCTGCTTCTGCACAGACTCCTCTTGCTTCCGTAAGTTATCCTCATTGAGAAGTTGCTGAGAAGAAGCCACAGAGAAGGGAGAAGCTTTCAGAACCAGAAAGCAGTGACACCAAGCCTACAGGCTACAGCTGCTCCGAGCCAGAGAAACTGGGCGTTCACCAGAGGGGCTCACAGCCTCTATGACCTGACACAGGCCTCCTAGGGCAGCCCGGCTGCCAGGACTCACAGAAACTGACACCAACAGCAGGGTGCCAGTACCCACAGAGGGAGAGTGGCATCCAGGTTTTGGTCTGCCCGACTCTACTCAGTCCCTCACTGACCTCCTGGTTAGCCAGAGCCCCTGGGTTAGGCCTCCTGGGCAAGAGCCTCAAAGCCCCTGGAAAGCCCACCTCTGTGCCCACACCTGTGCCTGTGTGCATCTGAACAAAGGTCCCCAGGACTAACCATGTGCTCTCCCATCCATGGACTAGCCTGACTAGCAGCCCATGAAGCTGCTGACCTCCAGGACAGCAGGCCCCTCAGGGAGATGTGCCCTGCTCACCTGCTGCTTCAGCTGGTCCTCGTAGCGTTGCCGGGCCAGTTTATCCTGGTACTGGGCCCTCTAGAGAGGAAGGGAACGACGAGGACACACCTTAGCTGGATAAACCAGTCTCGACAGCCTCAACCAGGGGCTGGGGCTTCAGGTAAGCTGCCTACCTCCCACAGAAAATCAGATGTGCTGGCGGGGGGGAGCTCAGTGTGGAGGGATCTACGGGCTTTGGGTGTTTGCACAAGGGTATTCCAAGGTGTTACAAGGGTAACAGCTGACACCCAGTAAATCCTTGGTTGGCTAGTGAAAGAGAGATCCAAAGCTGCACCCTACTCCCTCTCCTGGTCACCCCAGGCCTCCTGGTATGAATGACCGCTTGTGCCCTTACGGCCTGGTGCTGCCGGGTCTCTTCACTCAGGGTCTTCCTCCTTTCCTCAGCCTGCACACGGATCTGCTCACTCTTCAGCTGCTCCACAGCAGCCTCATACTCCTGTAGAACAGGGCCACTTAGGGTACCTGGCTAGAGGCTGAAGGCTCCCTGCTGAAGGCTCCCTGCAGCCCTCTTCCTCAAGCTGCAGGGCTCTGGGGCAGTGGCTTCAGTGGCACACCCAGCTGGTCTGTGCACTTCTGGAAACGCAGCCTGGACCAATACCCCTACCTGAGCTCAGGCCTTGAAGGAACCCAGACAGAGCAGAGAAGCACCAGAAAACATCTGGAAAGGCCTCCAGGGAGCAAGACCAAACCAGACACAAATGATCGGCCCCACAGGGACACATCACCCTCCCCCAGGCTTATACCATGACTACTCCATAGCAGCCAGGGGCTGAAAGCAGAGCCTTCTCCAGCTTACATGCATGAAAGGATGTTGAGTCCCACCAAGTGCACAGAATGAAGCTAAGAATTCCAAGAAAGACCCCCTGCCCTCAGGTAGACCAGTAGCCCCTCGCCTTATACCCGCTCTTTCAGGGGACTCTGCTGTGGGGACTCAGCCACACCCGAGGCCCCATCTTGGCCTCCCCTGCTTCCTTCCTGAAGGAGCGCCCAAGCTGGCATCTGCACCTGCCGTCTCCTCTAGGCCCTCTCACCTTGAGCTTAGACTGTTGCTCCAACTGTAGCGTCTGCTCCTGCATCTGTGCGAGACTCAGTGCCTCCTTGGCGTGGCCTGTGGGGTGTCAGACAGAGGAAATCAAGACACAATGTGGCTGTGGCCAGTGGGCAAGCACCCACTAATGTCAAGGGGCTTTCTGAGAAGCCACCGCATGCCTCAGCCTGAAGTGCTCCTGTCTACTTCCCAGTCCTGCCTTACCTGCCTGCCCTCAATCCTGGCCAGACCTTGCACACCCCTGCTTTCAAGGCTGCTGCCCTATCCCCAAGAAAGCCTGGCACAAGGCCCTGGTCTCATCCCCAAGGATCTATCACCTTTGTAGAGTTACCGCAGAAAGGCCACCCCACACCCATTCAGAGCAGGCCAAAACAGCAGGCATTTCCCAAGTGGGCAGAACGCGGGCTTTGGCTAGAGTTAGGTATTCATATTACACATTTTTCTTAAGCTTCCCATATCTATGACCATGAATCTGCTATCAAACACACACAGGCAAGAAAAGGGACAAATGAAACCCCCGATGCCACAGTGACCTTGGCTTGCTCTTTGGCCCATCGAATTCCTTCTATCCCCACATGCTGCCTACTTTTCTTGTTTTGGTGCTGGGGACTGAACCCAGGGCGCTCTTCAACCAAGCCACATCCTCAGCCCTTTTTATTTTTTGAGACAAAGTCTTGCTCAGTTGCCAGGACTGGCCTTGAACTTGCCATCCTCCTGCCTCAGCCTCTGAGTTGCTCTGAAGTCTTCAGAGTAAGCTGCAACTAGTACATGTTATGCTGTGATTACGGGAATATAGGCATGCACTGTCACACCCACCCTCTCTGTTAACTTCATTGCGGCCGTTTCCTCTCCTGACAGTGAAGCAATTATAGTTCTCCTTGGAGAATAAAAGAAGGAAAACCTCAGCACAGGACTGGTATCCATGTAGACTCCCGAGTCACAACCCAGGCCTGACAGTAGCTCACCACCTAAGACCACTCTGTACCAGCACCTTTGTCTCCCACAACACTCAAGCACCCACCCTGGTGGGATGTCTGAGACATGGTCTGGGGCATACACAAGACTTTAGGTCCATAAACCAAGCTGGCATCTAAGAAAGAACCCAGAAGATCCGGGCAGACACTGGAAACAAGGTATCACTAGGTTGGGCTTTGAGGAACAAAGAAGGTAGTCAGACTGTGCAGAGGACCATTGAGGACAGTTCCTGTTGGCTTGGGAGAAGGCAGTGGGGTCAATACAGAGGCTTAGGCCAAAACATAGTAGACCCTGTGGCAAAGCCCAGGGGACCGCATGAATCTGGGTGAACAGGAGGCTTATGAGCCGGGAGCCTTCAAAGAGGGTGCCTGGCAAAGGGGCTGACAAGCAGACAGGCATGAGGCACCCTGGGAAGAAGGGCTGGGGAGAAACATAGCCTCATGGAGCCAGGAAGGGTGGTGAGAATACAAACGCAGAGTACAAGATGCTCGCAGAGGCTGAGGCAGAGCATCCCAAATTCAAGGTAAACCTGAGCAGCCTATCAAGACCCTGCCTCAGAATGAAATAAAAGATCTAGGGATGCAGCTCAGTGGTAAAGCACTTGTCTAAAGGGTACAAGGCCCTGAGTTTAATCAATAGTACTGCCAAAAAAAAAAAAAAAAAAAGTAAGAGGGAGAACGAAAAAAGTGGAGAATGCAAACAGATACTGAGGGAGCAGCAGCCACAGCCACAGTCGCATCTGTTGGGCCAGAACCGAGGGCCTGGACAAGTACTCTCTAGGCAATGGACCCAGGCAGGTCGGATGGTGCAGAGGGCAGGGAAGCACAGACACCAAGAGACTTGTTCAGACACACCCACAGCTGTGTCCCACAGGCCTGGGTAACTGCCTGTCATAGGGACCAACTAAGATTCAGCTTGGAAATTCTGGGTATGGTAAGTGGGCAAAAAACCCCAGGAGTTGGGGCAGAAAGGTGCCCCCAGCTGAGTTTGGTCAGGGATTAAGTCTGCTATGGTATGAGATGTCCTGAAGCTTGTTCCTCACTCCAGCCAGCTAATAAACTAACAGATAAACTAAAAGATCACCTGTGAAATCGTCCACCCAGCCGGGCCTTAAGTGACACAATTGTGAACCAAATCTGAATGCACTGAGCATTCCTTTGGGACTATAAGAGCCAGCCAGCCAGACCCAGAGACCAGTGCCCAAGACATTCTTGTAGCCTCCTGGGAAAGGGCAGAGGATTGAGACACCAAGTGCCAAGCCCTCTCCCTTATTATCAAGGTGGCTCTGCCTACACCTACTTCACACCAAGGCTTCCCTACAGGATCTTCCAGTGATAAAAGGACACCCTCTTAAACAAGTTTGAGACTACTGTATTCCTTTAGTCAGTATTTATTTGGCACTTTGGCGCACATGAAATTGCGCCATTTTGGTGTAAAACATCAAAACCACAGGAGAAAAGAAGGTGGTGGGAAAAGCCCTGGGTTTCGAGAGGGTATCAGTCACTGCTCACAACTGGCTCAAGGAGGTCACCAGCTGGGCCAACACCCTCTGGCCTGTGGCTTTACAAACGCTCCCGCACCCACCAAAACGCCAACGTTTCCCAATAATAAATGCAAAATCTGTTACATTCTCGTTAAAACGAAATAACTAAAATATGCTTTCCTTGTTAAGTGCAAAATTGCCACCAACCCCGCGCACAAGCATCTCCGGGTCTGGCCACGCCCTGGCCTGCCCCACGTGGAGGCTGCAAGTTCGAAGGATCCCACGCGCCGGGCAGTGCCCAAAGCCCAGGGCCCAGGTGGGCACCCAGCACTTGCACGCTGAAGCCCCTGCTCCGGCCTGCTGGCGATAGCTGAAGGTGCAAAAGAGGAACAGGGCCTGGACCCTGGCACGCAGGACGGCTCGGGGCCGCCGACAGCCACCCAGTCTCGCCCGGTGAGGCGCTTACAGGGCCCAGCGGCTGGCGCCCGCGAGACCTCCCGCGCCCCGGCGCCCTCGGCACTCACGCGAGTGCTCCAGCTCGCGCGCCGCCTTGGCCGCGCGCTCCAGCCCTGTCGGGTCGAAGTTGCTCCATTTGTCCTTGGGCGCCTGCCGGTCTCCCGCACCGCGTTCGCCGCCGCCCTCGGCCCCAGGCTGTACAGGCGGCAAGGACAGCGGTGGTCCCGCGCCTTCGCCCTTGGGGCCCTTGTTGATGCCGAAGAGCCAGGACATGACCCGAGAGCGCTGCACGATACCGGGACCCCGGTCGACTGTGACTCCCACAACTCAGAGCAGCCGCCACGCGCCGCGGGCCGGCGGCAGGGCCAGTGCGCAAGCGCGACACACACCCCTTCCTCCCAACAGCGGAAGTGCGCGAGACCGCGCGGCACGCAGCCCTCGGACTGGGAGAAAAGGCCGTGACGCCACCGGGAGGGCGTGGCACAGGATAAGGATACCAAGCTTGGACAAATTTGTCGGAACTGGTGGGCGCGCACGGTAGCACTGTCAGTTCGCAGCAACCGCGGAGTTTCGGCCGTTGTGGGCGCTGGAGAAGCCCCAGCCTGGGAGAGACCCCCCCCCTGGACAGATATGGACGCCGGGAGCTCTGGGGACGCGGCTACCAGGGCAGGGGAGCGTGCGCCTGGCCGCGACCTCAGGGGACGAGGGAAGGGACCCGTGCTGCGAACCCTCCGCTCGCCCCCTCGGTGACCCGCAGCCTTCTGGCCCGGAGCGGCCCTGGAGTCTGGGCCCCACCGGGGCGAGCGGGAGCCCTGCAGGCATGAGGGTGCGCTGAAGATCTCCACACGCGGCGCACGCAGGAAGCCCTTAATAAGTTGACACTAGTGGATCCCAGGAAAGGCTTCGTCTTTCAGATGAAGGGCGGGCCTGGAGAGCAGTCCTCCGCCGGCCCCCTAGATGTTTCCGAAACCGCAGTGGTCTCTGGTTGTATGACTATTAGAATATCCCATCCACATGTTTGATACTTAAAATCTTATTCCATTTAGGAGGACAGACATACCCTTCCTAAAGACACTAAACAGAGAATCATGAGTGTGCTTTCTACCTGAAGCATTTCCATTTAACTGACAAATGTGAGGTGCTGCTTACGCTCTGCTGTTTTGTTTGTGGGATCCCTTCTGACCTCCCCAACAGCTTCTCTAACAGGAGTCCTCCAGCATTAAAGACCTAGAGAGACCACAGAGGTTAAAGATGCAGGTTGACAGGCTGGAGGCCAGGAGAGGAGAGCCTGTGTGACACAGAACTCAAGAACCTTATTGAGCATTTGATCCAAACAGAGGGTGTGCAGCCCTCCCTGGGAGCACAGGCTAGCAGGAGTTGGGGCAGGATTCTCAAAGTGAATCCCACCTAATCAGTGGGGAAGAGGTCTGCTCCAAGAATGTGTGCAGCTAAAATGGTTTCTGAGTCCCCTACCCCTGACCAGATCTCAGAGTTGCACTGCAACCTGTTGCCCCCAGCAACCCAGCCCTGGGGCTCCCAGCACCAAGGCTGCAGCTGCCAGCTGCCTGTTGACTTCCAAGGAGAGTGCCGGTGCAAAGCCTCTCCCCTTAAACCTAAAGCCCCTTTTGTGACAAGCACAGGTTTGCTGCTGACCATCAGTATCATTCTGCAGCTCTGTCCTGTTGGGCAGTGGTCTAGTTTCCAGAAGTGAGGAGCCAATCTCTCTCCTCAGCCAGCTGGTCCCTTCCTGCTCCTCTTCTTCTTCCATTTCCAAAAGGACTCACTGGTTCCAGACTTGCTCATGGCACCACAGTCCACCTGCAGGCCTGCCTCCACCACTGCTGGCATGTGCACTCCCCTCCTGTTCCTAATCCCCCACACACAGGCCCAAGCTCAGCCAAAAGAAAGGCTGCCCATGGGACTGGGGATACAGCTCAGTTGGCAGAGTGCTTGCCTTGCATGCACAAGGCCCTGAGTTCGATCCCCAGCACCAAAAAACAAACAAACAAACAAGAAAAGCTGCCCAGCCTGGCCAAGGTTCTAGGGTGGGGCCTTGGGCTACTGATTCCCACCCTAACCCACCATAGTAGGGTTCCTGTGACCTGCCAGCCCCTGGTGGCTTCTCCCCAGGTATGGTGGTTCATGAGAGAAAATAAGAGTAGTGGTAGCAGGCCCAGGACTATAGTGATTTAGGGCTGAGCCCAAACCTCACAGGCCCCTCTGGGCTTCCCCACAGTTGTATAGCTCATCTTCCTGCTCAGGGTTTATGTGTAGGTTAGCCATTGCCTGCTTATGGTGACCCCATGCACTGTCCTCTGCCCCAAAGCAGCCCCTGCCCCCAGCTGGAAACTCAAGAGTCTCCAGCACTGTCCCTATAGGGCCCTGAAGTGAAACCCATTAACTGGTGTACATACTTCCTGGCCATATGTATCATGGGTGGCCTTAGTGCTGGCCTTCAGCTGCCCTGCCCTGCCCAAACCTATGGCCTCCAAAGTGCCTTTGTGTCCCTGGACACTCTAGAAGGGGCTGTAAGGGGACTCTTTCTCAAGAGTTTCCTGTGAGGAGCCACCTGCCATGCCCATGACCTGTGGATCATGAGAGGCACCAGTTCAGGCCATAGATGCTCAATAAGGTTCTTCTCAGAAAACACACACACGTGTAGGGTCCAGAAACCACCGGCTCAACCCTGGCTGCCTGGGATTCACTAGGGTAGACAAAAGTGGGTTTAGTGGAGGCATGGCTTTGCCAGCAGTGGGTGCCCACAGTTGGGGGACTGGGCAGTTGGCAATGGGCCTGCAGAACTACTGGGCCCTCTGTCCTCTTGAGTTCCAGCAGTCTGCCCCTATCCAAACTGGATCCTGGGCCACAAAAGCAAGTGCCAGAGGGCTGTAGAAGTCCAGTTGATCTGTATCCAAGCACTGGAGTCTGGCCCCAGCTCCTCTCCAGATGCACCATGATCCTGCACACTGGACCTCTCACACTGCCCTGACCCGGGCTCGAGTATTGTGGCAGGAGCAAAGCATTCTACGGAGACAGCAGGCTCAGCATACAAATGATTTACTGTATTTTGGAATCTGGGTCATTAGTGGGGAAGAGAAGCAAGGTGAGCCTGGGCAGGTGATTCTGAGTAGAGGCCCTGACTAGTGGGGGCTACAGAAGCAGCCAGGTCCTCCCTATCCTTGGTGAATTTTCCAGAGCTCCAGGATAGTAGAAGGTGACAGGAGGTAGCCCATGACCCTCTGGGGTCAGATAGTGTTGCAAAGTATCTAAGGTGAACTCACCCAGAGCAACATTGTTCCCCCTCAAGGAGCTCTAGGGCCCCAAACAGGGGAGGCCCCCTGTGAGTGCTGGCCTTGGAGCCTGGCCAAGGCAGGAGTGGAGAGCCCTTGTCCCCACCGTCCTGAGCACCAGGTTCTGGGTCTATGCCTCCAGAAAAGTGCTTTCTTCATCCCAGGGGCTGCTAGCTGGGCCCACCTGGGGTCCTGGGCAGGGAGGCAGGGCCAGTGTGCCCAGTAGGCACTGCCTTCCAAGCTCAAGGGTCCTGGCAAAGACCATTGGGCCACACCATCAGCCTCCCAGTGCCCTCCAGTCCTTTCCTTCTTCAAGAGGCCTTTGGAGACATGCCTATGCCCACTGCTCCTCCCCTTGCCCCACCCAATTTCTATCCTTGTGCAAGACCTCAGTGGCCTCGGGCACTTCCTCCAACTGTGCATGCTTGGCCTTTCACACCAGCTGGAGCCCAGGCCCAGTCCTGGGTCTGATGTTCTCAACTCGCCCTCAGACGCCCTCCCCACCTCTTTACCAAATGTTGGCAAAGGCCGAGAGTCAGAGGAGGCTGCGAGGAGAGAACTAGGGGGTAAAAGGCAAGGCTGGCACTTCCTCCCACCGGCTCCGAACCCTTCCGGGCGGGCGGCTCACCCGCCACGGCCCACTGCGACCCGGGGTGCTGGGCGCGGGGCTCGGCTGCGCTCACCCACCGGCGTGCAGGCTTTGGCGGACAGCGCCCTCTCGTGGCCCGAGGGAAAGGCAGCTGTCACCGTCACCAGGTAGGCGGTGCCGGGCGTCAGGCCCTGCAGCGTGGTGCTGTTTCGGCCAGCGGGCACGTCCACGCGTTGTGCAGCGCCGCCACTCAGTGGCCCGAGCTGCACATGGTAGCCGAGCGCGGCAACTGGGCCCAGTGCTGGGGCCCAGCTCACGCGGAGGCTGTGCGGCCTGGCATGCGAGATGACGATGCGCTCTGGACCGGCCTCGTCTGCGGGGGTGAGGGGTGGGGGTCAAGCGGAGGGGCGTTCCACCCCAAGAACCCCTCCCCACGGCGTATTCCCACTCCGCGCCTCACCTGGCAGGGTGCGCACTCGCAAGTGCTGAGGCTTCAGGAGGTGCACGTTGGACTCGGGCAGCAACACCACATCATATTCTGAGTCAGGGTCGAGGCCGGCCCAGGTCCAGTCGGTGGCATTCCCAGGCAGCTGCTGGCGTCTTGTGGCCCCCGGGCCGGCACTGGGCACCAGTTCCAGCACGTAGTAGCCGGAGTCGGAGGTCAGTAGGGGCGGCCAGGCCAGGCGGAAGCTGTTGGACGTCACCTCGGAGGCGTAGAGCTGCTGTGGCTGCATTGCATCTGTGGAAGGTATGCGAGGTCAGGGGAGAAGACACCTGGAAGGCGCCAGCTGGTTGAGCTCTGGAGGATCCAGAGAATAACCTGTAGGTCACTGGAGTGGTGAGCAGGTGAATGAGGCTGAGGAAGCACATTCAGATTCTGACCTTCCTCTCCCGATGCCTGGGTGTTGGGGCCTGCCAATCTTCCCCCTCAGACTCTGCCCCCAGCCCCAGGAGCCACCACCCCACTCCCTGATTCTGAAGGCAGCCTTTTCTCCTTTCCTCTCCAGGCTCAGCTGCCAAGGGCCACTAGGGGTCAGATGTCCCTGGGGAAGACTTTGGGGGAGGACCCTCTACCCCTTCCCAGTCCACAGACCCACACCTTCCTGCTCAGGGTAGGTGAGTAACCCAAAGGCAGAGATTTGGTAAAAATCCTGGGGTGGTGGCACTTTTCTGTGGCTACAGCAAGCCTAACCAGCCATCAGGCCCCTCATCTCCAGCCCTTCCCCCTTTGAGGCTTGGCTGAGGGGGTGATCCAGGAAAAGGCCCCTGGATGCTGCCCCACCCTGCGGCAGACTTCCTGGTCTGGCTTCATCCCCAGCTGTTCTCACAACACACTTGCTGTACAAACCAACACAGATCCTTCCGTGGCTGTCCTCACCCAGAACAGGTAGGGCTTGAGCTCTGGGAGGCAGACCCGGCCTTCCAGGTTCTTCCCTCTTGGATGGGGTAGGCCTGGTGATCCAGTGGGCCTGGACATGCACAATGCACATGCTGCCACTGGTG